ATTTTTTTTAAAAAAAATCACCACTCAAAAGCTTAATTTCTACAAAAAAAAATCAACATATAGACAATACCTTTTAGAAGGTTGACATGTAAGAAAGAAGGATTATGAAATGGCTGCTATTGTTCATTGTTAAATTAAACCAACTAAATATATTGCTCACTGTTCAGATCATTTGATTCCAGACTTGAATATATATTTAGTAATGCTTCTGATAGGGATTTTAGTTCAATAGATTATAATCTAGATACTTAAACAGAAAATAAAACAAAGATGCTCACATGACTCATTCTTTGGGCTACAAAAATGGTTATGCCTTCACTCCTGCTTATGATTTAAAGTAATTCTAAGAACGTATTTCTGTTTTAATATTCTGTATTCATTTGACAGACAGAACTTTATTTCTGTCATTAACTAATAAAAATACAATCAATAAAATGAAAACTATCTTCTAACAAGAAGAATTACTATAACCATTTGTACGGGAAGCTTACACATTATATAGCAAACTTTTGCTACTTTTAGATAAATACACTTATATTTATTGTTTTATAAATAGTGCAGATAAAAGCTATATTCATAATTATATATTCATATTCATCATGGGTTTCATATGGGGTTTCCTGCATTTCCCTTTCAGGACAGCTGTGAGAAGAACATGAAATAGAACTAAAAATAAAGCTCTCCTAAATTTGGGAACTGTGATAAGATGTAACTATGTGGCAGGTTCAGGTACTAACATTTGGTTATTTACAGTTACAATATAATTGAGAAGATTATGAAAGAAAGCAGCAATTTCTGTTTGTTCTTCTACATCTACAAGATCCTTTGCCATAATATTGATCTAGCGCAGGGTTGTCAAACTCGCGGCCCGTGGGCCAGATGCGTCACATGCTGGCCTCACCCGCGCCTGGTCTAGTGAAGGGGTGGAAAGTCCCGATATGTCACACGACAATGCCGTGATGATGCAAGTTTAACACAGATCTAGAGTGATCTAACTGTAAGATTAAGTTGGCATCATTGGAGAAACTATACAGACTCAAGTTTCTTTTGGATCACAGTTTCCTAGGAAGATTTGTAATCGTCTGCAAATATTAGATGGGTCAGTTTACTAGGGTTAGGGGTTGAAATCATTGTTCTTTAGCCAATCTTGTGGTTCCCCTGAAGAACAATGGCTTTCCTTTCTTAATTCTTCAACAAATGTACTGTTTCATATAATTTTTTACAATAAAGTTATGATTTTGTTAAACATTGTGCCAGTGTTGTTTTATAAACAGTCATGGAACTTCATTGATTGATTCTTTCATTACTGGACACAAAAAAGGAAGATCAATGGATTTCTCCAGGAGTGGTATATGACATATATGCCTAGAATCCATTACTACAATAAATGACTCCAGAATCCCTGTTAGAGCAGGCCAAATTATCCTTCAGAGTTAGACACCTTTTATGGAAATTGTCAGAAGACTCTTTCTCTTTAAGACTACATACCAATTCCCTACAAAGTACAGCCTGAAGTCTTATATGTCTTAGCTTAAATTGGTAAAATAATAATTTCACATGTATTGATTCTTATACAATTATTCCTATTATAAGGAAATGTGCAGAATATGCAGCAAACACAAAGACTTCCTTTTTTAACAAACCTATAACTTGTCTGTGTATAACAGCAATTATAATAGAACATGATATTCTGAAAATCTTATTCTTTGCCTGCACTATATCTTTTCATCCTGGTAGCAAATCTTGCCAGGTTTTAATTGGGCATTATATTCTATATATTCAGTGTGATTGCATAAATTTGTTTTAGCCTGTTCTAAAACTATATCACATAGAAAGCAAGGTCAGAAGTTAGCTCTTAAAAGCAAGTAATTGATGTAGTGCTGATTTCATTTACTGAAAAGGTATACAGAATTTCCTCAGTTGCAGGAAGCCTGGCAAATGCCAAAGTGAGGCAAGGAAAGAGCAAATTGGAAATGATGGATAGCAGTTGGGAATTTCTGACACCCAATAACCTCCAAGGAAAACTGAGTGAAATCAGAAGGGAACAGCAGGGAAGACAATTGCAAAACTATGTACTTTGAGAAATTTGATTTTTCAGCATTACAGGTACTCTTCAATTTACAATTATTCACTTAGCAACCATTCAAACTTACAACAGCATCGAAAAAGGTGACTTATGACAGTGCTTGCGCTAACAACTGTTGCAACATCCCTACAGTCACGTGGTCAAAATTCAGATCCTTGGCAACCAGCATGTATAGACAATGGCTGCAGTGTACTAGGGTCATGTAATCACTATTTGTGACCTTCCCAGCCGGCTTCCAACAAGCAAGGTTAATGGGGAAAGCTAGATTTGCTTAATGACTAAACAATTCATTTAACAACTGCAATGATTCAGTTAACAACAGTGGTTAAAAAAGGTTAAAAAAAGCAGACATGACTCACTTAACAAACACTTGGCTTAGCAATGGAAATTCTTGTCCCAATTGTTCTCATATGTCGAGGACTACCTGCACATGTTTCTGTTTGTAAAAAGATGCAATTGCATCTAATCCAGAAAAAAGATACGAATCAACAAAAGAAGCTTTTAGTCTAACTGAATCAGGAAACTAGAACATTTAGTAAGAGGCAATCATTCAAATCTTTATATTAAATAAATAAATAAGTGTGTGTGTGTGTGTGTGTGTGTGTGTGTGTGTGTTATCTAGATATGTTTGTTATCTAGATATGTTTGAACCAGAGACCTCCTATAGGATTTCCACATTCCTATAGAAAGCAATGCTGCACAGGGCGATAAATATGTACAAATGTCATGGTTCTATCTTCAGTTTCAGTATGTACATTTTTGCTTCATATCACTATACTACTAGACTGTGATGTGTTTCTAACCAAACACTATTTAGAGACCATTTAAAACACTACACTGTGTGCACACTAAAATATTTTGCCAATACTGACATCCATAATGTAAAACCTCTATAGACAAGAAGCCAAAAGAAGAAATGGCAGGAAGAGAATTTATTATTCTTCTATTTAAATTCGTTGCTTGATAATGTATGCCTGGATTTGGAAATCTCTATGATCTTTCCAAAGCATTCTAATGCATCTAGGTATCTTTCTACAGATCAAAAGAACAGAAAAATCATATGACACATCCCTATCTTTTATTTTGCTATAACTGTTCATTATTAGCTTTTTAAAACTTCTTCTGAGAAAGAAAGCTAGTATCACAACCTGCCTATAATAAGTGAAAAAGAGCAGAATAAATTTTGTTTGAACTGTCAACGAAAGAAAGCATTTGCTTAAAAAAAATTAACTGTTTAACCTGCATTCACATATGTGATCTGAGCACCCTCTACTGTGTAAAATTACTCATAGCAGATATAGAGAGTTAATGCTACCATATTATTCCAGAGCTGTATTTCTCCAACATAAACATCCCTCCAGCCACCCTATTTAAAAAATGGTCCTATTCATGATAAAAACAAAATCTTTTTTTTTCTTCCCAAGGAAGACATTTATTCAATGCTAAGGTATACAGTAAGAAAATGTTCTAATGCTGAAAAGGTAATCCTACTTCAAAGGAAAGCAAAAATATAGAGATGGTGGAATAAAAGTACTCCTGCATACAAATAGCATAAACAAAATGTAGCTTTGCATCCCATTTATCCTCATTATCTCACTCCCCTTCATTGCGTACAACTTCCTTTAATTAACTATTACTTCTTACCAGATAATTAGATACAGTGTAAAGTCAGAAAGACCCACCTTTGGAAGGATGGGAAGATAAAGTTAGCCAACACATCTCAACCCTTACTAACTCACTTCAGATGACACTGACCAGAATACTTCAGCCCTTGCTATGAATACAAAACTTAATGAAGAAGAGACCAAAGGCCCCTGATTCCATACACTGGCTTATTCAGTTCCGGACCTTGGGAACTATCACTTACCGTATTTGCCGGCGTATAAGATGACTTTTTTGCCCTGAAAAAGATGCCTCCAATTGGGGGGGTCGTCTTATATGCCGGGTCGTCTTATACGCCGGCAAATAGTAATTGGGAAGCACTGCGGCTGCCCGCGGCTGAGGCACTTTTGCGCACCGTGGAAACGAATCCCGTGAAGCCGAAAGGAGCAGCCAGCCTTCTCCCAGCTCCCAAGGAAACGAGGCTCGCACCGCCCGAGCTCCGCTGAGGTATCCGGCTGGGGCTGTCAGGAGTTGTTACCGCTGGCGCGGCTCCGTGCGGCTCCAGTCCCGTGTTGCCTCGGGAAGGGAAAGGCAAAACCAGGAGCCGCTGCTGCCATTGCAAAGCGCCGCCGCTGCTCTTCCTTTTTGCCTTTTCCTTCCCGAGGCAACGCGGGACTGGAGCCGCGCCAGCGGTAACAACTCCTGACAGCCCCAGCCAGATACCTCAGCGGACCCCGGGCGGTGCGAGCCTCGTTTCCTTGGGAGCTGGGAGAAGGCTGGCTGCTCCTTTCAGCTTCACGGGATTCGTTTCCACGGTAGACAAAAGTGCCTCAAAAAAAAAAAAAAGTGCAAAAGTGTAAGGCGTGCGGAAGAGGGGGCGAGTATATAACAAACTATATTTTGAGTGGAAATGTTGGGGGGTCATCTTATATGCCGGGTCGTCTTATACGCCGGCATATACGGTACATATGTTTGATCTATTTTCCATAACAGCCATAGATACGGATAATGTAGATGTTCTCAGCCAGGCCATCACCAATAAAGCTTATACTTAGGGGGAAATTGAGGGGGGAAGAGGAAAGCGGGGAAGGAGGGGTAGAGGGAAATTGAGAGCTTTTTGACAATAATTTAGCAGTATTCCACTCTCTGTATTAATGTGCAGGCATTTCCTAGTTTGTGTTTACTTGAAAGTATTCCACAAATAAAAACTGTAAGCATGTTTTAGGAAATGAACCAGGTAAGGTTTAAATAAAAACCCAACAAAACATATCCGAAATATAAAACAGGGCCTTAATATCTTAAAAGTAGTTACCTTTATTGAAGAACATGGAGGCCATCTGACCCATTTCTACCCTTTCGGTGATTTCAAAAATATTAGGTGCTCCTCGTCTCTCTGAAAATTAGAAGGAACATTTTAGACCCATGATAAGTCCAAGCTATTTATATTATAAACTGATTCACAGGTAGTCCTCAATTTACAACCATTTGTTTACAACTATTAAAAGTTACAATCCCACTGAAAAAAAATGACATGGCCGATCCTCACACTTATAATCATCAAAGCCTCTCCACAACCACCTGATCAAAATTCAGCCACCTGGCAACTAGCATGTATTTACAACAGTTGCAATGTCCTGGGTTCACATGATCATCACCTGTGATTCTTCCAGCCAGCTTCCAACAAGCAAAGTCAATGGGAGAAGCTAGATTTGCTTAACAATAACCCTTATCAACTACAGTGATTCACTTATCAATTGCCTTGCTTAGCCATGGAAATTCTGATCCCAATTTTGGTCATATGTTGAGGACTACCTGTATTTTATTTATGAAGTACCAATATGCATATATAGATGAAATTTAAAAAAGAAAAAAGAAATATTGCAATAGATACATATTTTTAAACTGATTTTAAGCCGTTTTATAGTTAAATTGCTCAAAGTTCTTTTGCTTTTCATCCTTTAAATGACTCCTTTGGTTGTACTACTGAGTAATGTAATTATGGGCCAGAATTAAGAGGGGGAAAAGTCTCTCCTTCTCCCCTCTCTGAAGGAGAACAGCTGCTTAAATAGGCTGAAGAATGGCTGAAAGATTTGGCTGATTACTCAAAAGAGTACGTAATGGGGGGGGAGCTATGTTCACCATTTTAAAGACTTTCCCCACATAATTTCCAAATTTTAATTTTTTTGATTAATGAAGGTAAATGTGTAAAACATAAAATAGAATGTTTTGGAGCTCAGGCAGTGTTGATGTTCTAATTCAAAACGTAAATCCTTCATAATTAATCCACACGATACAATTATCTATTTGAAAAATTTAACAAACAACATGCCACAGACGTGAAGCACAGTAAATAATTTCAGGATGACATAAACCCATTAGGAGGACTACACTGTAGAAATAATCCACTATTTCTATATAGTTCTTATAATATTCAACAAGATCAGTCCACAGCAGTCTTATGGAGAAACGTACGCATGAGATTCCCCACCACCACTATTGCTAGAATACAAGCTTAAAATTGAAACTGCCTATCTTACACAAAGAAACCTATTGTTATAATGCACAGTACAAAACCATATCTTGAATTTATCAAAGCAGGCAGAATATTTGGAGTAAAATGTTTTCACATACAATTCAAAAGAAGTTATTCAATAACATTTATTTAGCAACAATATTTTCTTCCCTTTGGACATGATATTAATCCAGGACATGAAGGAAGAAGGAAACTCGAAGGAAGGAAACACTTAAACTCTGTAACTTCTGAGAAGGAAAGAAAGCAACATGGTGCAGATACTATCTTCAATTGTTTTGTACAAGGCTGAAAATTATTCTATAAATGTCTCAAGCATAAATGTTAATTGGAGAGGACCTGTCGTGAGGAGCTTGAAAGATTATAATGTGGAGAATATAGAAGATTATAATATTGATACAAAGCAATTCAACATTGAGCTTGTTTGATATAAGAGCCTGAAAAGATTTAAATTCATAGTTCCCATTTGCTTGCAGAGACTTTGTACTATACAAGGCATAGATCCAGCTTTTGGCAAGTCCCTGTTTACTTGGAATCTAACGATGAGATATAACAAAGGCAAGAGAAAAGGGAAAAGAAGAAAATCAAGCAACACTCCTGTGCCCCAAACAAAATAAACTAGAACAAAACACCATTTGTTCTAGGTGATTAAAAATAATCCTATAGCTGCTGCAAGAATAAGAGTAAATTCAAACAGATTTTAAGACTAATGAGTTTCCATCTAAGTTACTAAAGATTGATGGAGGATAGTAAGAAGAAAACAAAACTTAAAGGAAATAAATGATTTTATAGTTTTGTCTGAAGGTAAAAATATTTTATGTATTGATAGCAAGAACTGCAGCAACAGTAAAAAGTAGTTGTAAAATCTTCAGTAATTGAAGTCAAGAAGAAAAGTCACG